AAAAAAAAAAAAAAAGAACTTGTTGTTCAACATTACTTGTCCATACGGAAATACAAATTAAAGCCACAATGAAATACCAATACACACATATGATGATAGTAAAAAATGTATAGATTATGCTACCGAGTGCTAGGGAGTCTGCAGAGCAACTGAAATGCCAATATCAGAAATGGTACAGCCACTTTGAAAAAAACAATGGCAGTTTTTTCTAGTCACTACAAACTTATAGTGTAGTCAAACTATAAGTTTAAATGTTTGTAGTGACTATAACCATAAAAAACTGGAGCAATCCAATGTCTAATATCAGGAGAAAGGATAAACAAATGTTGATAAACCCATCCAATGAAATACTATTTAGCAAAAAGAGCAGAGAACTACTGAAACTTTCAACACCACTGATGGATCTTGAAACCTTGTTAAGTAAAGCAGCCATACACAAAATATTATATACATAAGATTATACTGTATAATTCCATTTAGAGGAAGTTCTGTAACAGGCAAAATAATCAATGGTAATAAGAATGTGGTAGAAATGTGGTTTGTCTCTTGGGAGGGAATAAGTAACTAACTGGCAAGGAGCATAAGGAAATTCTCTGGAAAGGTGAATTCATCACCCATATCTATGAATATTGTTTTCCTTTATTCTGTAGCTGTGATTTACTTTCAAATGACAGAAAAGCAAAGAGACTTGGAGACTCCATTCTTGACTAGATAGATTATTCAATTCTGTTATTTACCCTTATTCATAACACTTCTCCACAATCCCCTTGGAAAGTAAAGACTGGTTAATTTCAAAGTGTCTCAGGGGTGTGTTATTGCTGTATTTAGAATTATTTTTCTCCCAGTTGTTGCAAATAGTATTCCTTAAATATTTATTGAATAAAAAAGCCGATCATATTGTAATCTTAATCTGTGGTTTTATTATACATACATTATACTCAATTTTTAAAAATGAAAACAGTTGAGGCAAAAATACAGGTGTGCATAGTCACTAAAGGTTTTTGAACAGCAGGGTAGCACATTAAAAGCTGTGCTTTAGAGAGAATAATCTGACAGGAGGGTGAATCAGGTACTAATGTCTAAGAAGTTTACTATTGCTTAGCCTGTCAAATAGTAAGTAGCAGGACTTTTGTAATGGTATGAAAATAATTTAAAAAAAATATTTAGCCTAGGCAATTGAAATAAGTATAGAATTAGAAACTCCCACAGAAAAGTCTTCAAAGTCATAACCATAATGAGATATTTTAAAGCCTCACCAGTAGTAGACAGGTGGTCTAGTAGATATTGTTGTTCTTCTTCTGTAAGTTTTATATCCATGTTTTTCAGAATAGCATCCACGTTACTGACATCAATCTTCTCTCCTTTTGAAAACAAGTGTATTGATGGGAATAAGAAAAATAACGAATCATACAACAGTGTGAAGTTTATGTGTTATAAGTCCTACTCGCTGTTGAAATAATGAAAGAAAATCATCCCTTGGTGTTTATTGTACTTCAGAACACAAATCCTTAACTTTATAAAGATGAATAAAACATTTTGATCAGGTAATTATTTAATTAATTATGGCAATGCAGAAACCAAACAATAATCAATAAAGGCTTTAAAAAGTTGAGTTGGAAGGCTTGATTTTACTTGAATTGCCAACTTTACAATCTCTATTTATTAAATTAAAACAATTATTCAAGGTATGATTTTCCATGAATACCTATAATTTTGTGATTTTTTTACTTGCCAAGATTACTAAGAAATCTAAAAGTAATAAAATAGCATGCTGTCTCAAAATGATAATATTACTAAATATTTTTTCAGATCTAGATGTAGCCAAAAGAAATCTCACGTAATAAGAAATGGCCATATAATAACAAAATAACATGGAAGGGAAACTATTGAACTAGTTGTCTAAGAACAAAATGAGTATTTTAAAATAAATGTGTTGTCTCTATGTTTACCAAATGAACTATATTTTTAAAAAGTATATACAAAAACAACGTTGCCACAGCTAGTACTATAAGTTTTAGAAGTTCATTTTACTTATTCATATTTTTAGCTCTTAATATAGTGTCTAGCACTGCCTAGTTATTCAGTAAATATTTGTTTAATTAACAAATTTTAACTCACCTATGACTGCCCTATCTTTTATTCCGTTTTTCTTTTTCACTTCATTATCAGCTCCAAAATAAAGAACAAATTATGTCACAATTATAGTAAGTTTTATCAAATCATTAATGTTAAACATAGCAGTTCTGGGATGTTGTATATATTGACCTATAACCTCATTTAATTAAAAATAAGTATAAGGCACAGAAAAAAAAGAAGGGTATCAAGAATAATTAATGAAGATTCTTGTTTCTGAGACTTAATGAATGAGCCACAAAATAAGGTACCTCTGAAATATGTAATAGACCAAAAAACAAACAAACAAAAAAAATCCCAGTATTTAAGTTTTTTAATATCTTTTAGAACTCTACATGAGTTCCTTTTTAGATGATGAAGGGAAGATGCTCCATCTGTTCTATTCATTCTGCTACTGTAAGGAGATAGGGATATGGTGCTTTTTCCTCTTATTATCTAACAAAATAAACTTTTTTGAGTAATCCATTTTAGTGAGCTTTCCCTTCTAATTTGTGTATACTAACCAAAAATATATGCTTATAGTCCATTAGGAGCCCTAGAAGGCAGCAAGACACATAGACTTTTTTGAGAAACCATAGCAAGGAGAAAGTAGAAAAGAAATGCCAGTACTGATATGTAAGAAGAAAGGTCTCTGACAGCCACCAAATTTTCCACAGCTCCAGTATGGCATGCAAGAATGGCAAAATATTTTCCATGACACAGTGAAGGGAACAGAGGCTTGTAAGAGTCAAAAGCAGCCTGGCAGTCAAGCTAAAAGTGCAAAGTAACCAATGCAAGGGCATGTTGCAAGATAAAATGCCAGGTAAAAATTCAGGTCATTCAGTTAGTGCCAACATGAAAGGACAAATGAGGATCAGAACAGACATATCATCATAAAGATATATGAAGAGAGGCACCTCCCTTTCCCCATGCACCTCTACACAAATCTCCCAGAACATAGATGCAACCCTCTGGAGAAGGGAGAAATGAGAACATCTTGATTTAACTTATAAAAATGCTGATTGGAACATAATTTATTCCAGTAGTTAAGATCACTCAGAACACAAACTCACGTGTGCAAATACTTTAACATCCTTAATTCGACCAAGATAAGATAAAACATAAAAAGTCAAGATTTTGTACTCATGAGTTTAATTGTAATACTCACTAGACTGTAGGCTATATTGAGGAATTTTCTTATTTATCTTCATATTCTCAATGCCTAGTACAGTGGCTGCCCACAATAAATACACAGTAAATATTTATTGATTAAAAGAAAGAATAAACTGATTAATTACATAGCAGATCTTTAATAAATAACTATTCAAAAGCATTATTAATTCCCTGATCACTATATAGAGAATACATTTTCATAAACAACATTAAACACAGTGCGAATGCCAACTCAAATGTTTACATCAGTGGTTCTTAACTGGGCGATTTTGCCTCCCAGGAAACATTTGGCAATTTCTGGAAACATTTTTGGTTGTCACAATTATGGAGTGCTACTGGAATCTAATGGATAGAGGACAGAGATGCTGCTAAACATGTGGCAATGCACAGGACGGCTCCCCACAACAAAGAATTACCTAATCCAAAATATCAATAGTGCCAAGGTTCAGAAACCCTGATCAAATTTTTTTGTCTTTGTATAATCTAACAAGTCAAGCACATAGTGTTTTGGTTTCATAGTTAGGCACAAATACAACAATACTTCTAATGAACTACCATGACTATAAATTGAGTTTAAAAATCTTCTTGAATTGCCTGAAAATATCTCATTTAATCCATGGCTTAACTAAATTTCCGCTTTACTACTTAGCAGCTAATAAATTAATACTCATACAGCTATAAATCATCTAACTGTATGATTACTGATTGATTTATTGGTAAATGGAAATAACAAAATCTAGTTCAAAGGATTATTGTGAGAAATAGATAATATATGTATAATACTTTGCACAGTGATTCGAAGTAGTGAACATTCTATATGATGGCTACCATTATAATGTTAAATATTTGTTAAATATTTGTAAATCTAAATCTCAGATCAGACAACCCTTCTAAGTTACAGGCCTATCTATCCAATGAACTATTGGACATTGTTTGATGGGGAACATCATTTCCCTATCTTCAAATCCCCACAGAGGGAAATAATTTTAATTATATTACCCAGAGGTAAAGAAAAGGGGACTGCTTCTAATCTCTGTCCTTGCCTCCCCAACCCTTGCTCAACACTGTCTTCAGTCTAATTCTTTTCCAATTCATTTACCACACTGCTACCAGAGTGAGTGATTACACCAAAGTACAAATTTGATTACCTCAGGATCCTTAAAAATTCTTCAATAATCTTTGTATACTGACATGGAAGCATGTTCATGATATAATGATTAATACAAAAGGCATTTTATATTAAAAATAGAGAACAAAGCACTTAAGCATGAAAATAAACAATGAGAGTACTGAATTATAGCTCATTGAATTCAATCCATGAGTCTATACTGATATAAACAAATGAATAAATAAATAAATGAGGAAAAGAAAGTCTTTACTTACATTATACTGATATGTGTGAGGAGGAAAAAGCTTTCTCTTAAATTAGAATTCCAATTAATAAATATTTTAAAAAATAGAATTAGAAAATTAATCTTTCAATAAAATACCTAGGAATACAGCTAACTAGGGATACAAAAGATCTTTACAAAGAGAAGTATAAAACACTGCTCAAAGATATCAGAGATAACACCAGCAAATGAAAAAACATTCCATGCTCATAAATAGGAAGAATCAATAGCATTAAAATGGCAAAACTGTCCAAAGCAATTTACAGATTCAGTGCCATTCCTATCAAACTACCAATGACATTCTTCACAGAATTACAAAAAAAAAATTCTAAAATTCATAATGAATCAAAAAAGGGCCCGAGTAGCCAGTATAATACTAAGCAAAAAAGAACAAAGCAGAAGGCATCATACTACCTGAATTCAAACTAAACTACAGAGCTAAAGTAACCAAAACAGGATGGTATTGGTTCAAAAACAGACACACAGACCAATGGAACAGAATAGTTTAGAAATAAGGCCACACACCTACAACCATCTGATCTTTGACAAAGCTCACAAAAATAACCAGTGGGAAATTACTCTCTATTCAATAAATGGTGCTGGGATAACTGGCTAGCCATATGCGAAACACTGAAACTGACCCCTTCCTTACCTCATTTACAAAAATCAAATCAAGATGGATTAAAAACTTACATTAAATTTAAAACTTAAAACTATAAACAACCCTGGAAGACAATCTAGGAAACTATTCCAGACATAGGAATGGGCAAGGATTTCATGATGAAAACTCCAAAAGCAATTGCAACAAAAGTAAAATTTGACAAATGGGATCCAATTAAACTAAACAGCTTCTGCACAGCAAAAGAAATTATCAACAGAGTAAACAGGCAACCTACAGAATGGAAAAAAAATTTTGCAAACTATGCATCTGAAAAAGTTCCAATATCCAGCATCTATAAGGAAATTAAACAAATTTACAAGGAAAAAAAAGCCATTAAAAAGTGGGCAAAGGACATGAACAGACACATTTCAAAAGAAGATACATTTGGTCAGCAAGATTATGAATAAAATCTCAATATTACTGATATGGTTTGGCTATATCCCCACCCAAATCTCATCTTGAATTCCCACATGTTATAGGAGGGACCCAGTGGGAGGTAACTGAATCATGGGGGCAGATGTTTCCCATGCTGTTCTCATAGTAGTGAGTAAGTCTCACAAGATCTGATGGTGATATAAGGTGGAGTTTTACTGTACAAGCTCTCTTTGCCAGCCACCCTCCACGTAAGATGTGACTTGCTCCCCCTTGCCTTCTGCCATGATTGTGAGGCCTCCCCATCCATGTGGAACTGTAAGTCCATTAAACCTCTTTCTTTTGTAAATTGCTCAGTCTTGGGCATGTCTTTATCAACAGCATGAAAACAAACTAATACAGTAAATTGGTTCCTGTAGAGTGGGGCACTCCTGAAAAGATACCTGAAAATGTAGAAATCATTTTGGAACTGGGTGACAGGCAGAGGTTGGAATAGTTGGAGGGCTCAGAGAAGATAGAAAAATGTGGGAAAGTTTGGAACTTCCTAGATACTTGTTGAATGGCTTTGACAAAAATGCTGATAATGATATGAACAATGAAATCCAGCCAGAGGTGGTCTCACACGGAGATGACGAACTTATTGGGAAATGGA